CTTTCATTTCTAGTTGCCTAGCCCAGAGTTGATCGTAAATCTTTTTAGTGGAATAATAAGTGATTAAGCACAAATGAAAATGGTAAGTCACTGAAAGTTTTGGAAGGAAATAGATGATGATAAAGCTGTTATAAAAATTATTCTCCTGATAGCACCAAGAATGGAAATGGATAGAGAAATCAATGGTGGAAAATCTATTTAGGGGAGAAATACAGTAAGTAGTTCAGTGGAAGAAATACGGATCAGAAGGACGGTGGCAATAAATAAGAACTAGTTTGAGATCAAGTGACACTTCAAATATTCAAGCCCCAAAGACCAGGAGAACAGGGGTCACAATCAGAGAAAAAGAGAAATAGCTTAAAAGGACATTAAAGTTTGAAAGTAAAGATGAAGGTTACAATTTTGGACATACCTAGAATAGACCTAACCTAGAATATGGTGATTTATTTCACAATCTCCTTATTCCCATATTTCCCTTTCCTACTTCTTTCTTCCTCTGTATTCAGTTCTACCTAGATAGAGGAGGATCTTATTAGTCAAGGAAAACTGGCACTAGGAAAAAAATCACTTAAATGAGCCCCCCAAAATAGAGAAAAAGTTTCATAGCAAAAAGTGAGAAGAAAATTTGCTTTTGTTCATCTTGAAAAATAAAATTAAAATTTATCATAAAGTTTATCTTTTACACATGATAAAATTTAAATCACAACTCAACCATATGCTTATTTTTTAAATAAACATAGAAAGAATCAAGAATCAAGTGCTTGTTGGTTATAATGCCAAGCTTATGACAGTACAAATTGAAATGCTTAATTTTATATAAATCTTTTAAGTATAATCTTAATCAACTGTATAGAAATTTTAGAGGACTTCAATTCCCACAGGGATCTCTATCAATCCTTTGATATTTACACCAACTTCATTTGAAGGTAAGACTTGCAGAGTTGGTGTCATAAGGGGAAAAACTGAGAATAAATCTAACTTGGCACAAGGGACGTATTTAATCTGTGGTTCATATAAAGCCTAACACGTAAAAACAGTTGATAAATGAAAGATGGCACTTGAAAGATGACACTGATTTCTGATTTATAATTGTAGCAGAAAAATAAAGAACTACGGTATTTTAATTCTAGCAATGCTGGATATACTTACATCAATATTGACAGGTTCTATTGTGTTTATATGCACATTTGGAGCTGACGAGGACCGGTCCCGTTGCCCAAACTGATTGCGATGATCTTCATCTGCTGGTCGGAAGGGCTGTGGAATTGGAATGGATTTTGAAGGAGATGGACTGGTGAGAATTTGGGGCCTGGAAAAATCAAGTCATTGGAAGATAAGAGCATTGGAAGGTTATAGCACTTATATAGAGATAATATCAAAACATGGAAGATACAAAGATTATCTTCTTTAATATAAAAATCTTTAAGTTAGAGCACTGAAATTATTCTAGCATGTTTTATAAAAAGCATTCTTAAACTAAGATACCTACAACTAACTAGTACTGACAAAGCTGCTTTGGTCAAGCAGACCTTCCAGGAGCTAATCAATGATTAAAAACATTGATTGTTACTCAGAAAACTATAGGGGAACCTACAAATGGTTAATCAGATGAAGAAGCTTTAAAGTTATACAAAAATAATTACAGAGACTGACTTAATAAAATCCACTTTTTAAAACTTTGTCATTTCTAGATATCTGAAATTAAGAAAATTAAAATTTTATGGGAAGTATTAGGAAGTAACAGATATTTTTAGGAATATACCTGTGCATTTCAGGACCCGAAAGATGTATCTGCTGCTTTACACTAGAGTTGAATAAAAATTCTGAACAACATCAAAAGATCATTTCCAAATTCAGAAGATGATCTTCATAGTACAAGTATCTTTCACATTTTGAAATTTTTATCATGCCCAATTACTGACACCAGAGAAATAAAAGAATCATATATTAAACATTAAAGCAAGTATTTTTAAAAACTATTTTTTGATTATACCACCATAATAGGGAACAGGGTAATTTATTTTAGTATTGTAGATAAATAATGAAGACTATGATCTAAAAGAATTTAACACTCATAGAGAACACTGAAGTTCTGAGACTAGACTGCAAGCACCTCTAAGGAGTCTATACCCCTCAAACAAAACAACCTTGGGATTAAGGAAGTGAGTATCACTTGGTGGAAGAGATATGGCTCTAACTAAACTTAACAGGACCAGTGAATGATTCAGCACTAACAAGCTATTTTTATGTAATTGGTTATTTCATACCATCTTATGCAAACCCTCCAACTAACCAGCATTATTTACTGGTTATCATGCTAGAAAGACAATGTTGAAGAAATAAAAAGACACTCAATGAGGGGAGAAGGTTTGGAGAAGAATGGTAAGAAAAATAATAGGAAGAGGAATGGATAAAGTTTTGAAGAGGAAAGGAAGCTCAACAGTGACAAAAAGACTCTTTAAAGCATGTCAAAAGAATCTGAAGCTCATTATTAAAGATAAGAAAAGAAATTTTGACTTGTATGTTCACATTAACTACAGGAATCCATTTAGAAGTAATATGCAAATAATTATTATGTACTAAAAATTGGTATCACCTCAATTAGAATTATAGGTAAGACTGATTAAACTGGATGGAAAAATTACGTTTCACCTGTGTCTTTTTTATGTTTTCTGATTATTAAGAAATGTTTAGTTTGTGACAGAGCTATCTTTATTCTTGCTTTAGGGAGTCAAATATATGCCCTTTGCTAAGGAATTATGGGAGATATTTTAAAAAGGTTTTGGAAAGTATACTGACAAACTACTTAGAGGCTAACTTAGTTACAGGACAACAGCATAGTTTAAATCAGAACTAAAAACTGGAAAAGAGTCTGAATTAACTAGAACTGTACAGAATAGTCTAACTAATGTAATAATTGACCTGGTAAAAGTAAAGAGGCAGTAAGTCATTCCTGAAACTTACTGAATTAGATCTATGATGGAAATAATGTACTGGATAACAAATCAGAATTATGTATGCAAATACATTGATCCAGAATTAAGAAAAACAAAAATCTGCATTTCATCTGGTAAGTTTCATTCTCCTATCTAAAGAAGGAGAATGGATAGATCAGAAAGTGAGGGTATCTGCCTATTATATTAGTACTAATACTTTCTGAAAGGGAAAATTGTGTCTTGGTCCACAAAGTCAACTTGGCTAGCCATAAAGGCAAGTATATATTACAATTGTGTACAATACTTCAAGTTGTTATACTCTGATATATTAAATATCTGAACTATACCCTAATTTCATGCTTAACAAAACAATTTTCTGGATTGGAAGTATGAACGCAGTGATTCCATGTTTGTAATGCCAGTCACTCAGCAGGCAGAGATCAGGAGGATTGTGGTTCGAGGCCAGCTCTGACAAAACATCAGAGACCCCCATCTCAATGAGTAAAGCTGGGTGTGATGATGTGAGTCTGTCATCCCAGCTACCCAGAAGGCATTAGGTAGGAGGATCATGGTCTAAGTCTGGTCCCAGAAGAAAAATGCAAGACCCTATCTGAAAAATACCACAAGCAAAAGGGTTGGGGGTGTGGCTCAAGGGGTAGAGCACCTGATTCCCAAGCATGAGGCCATGAGTTCAAACCCCAATACTGCCCCCCCGCCAAAGTTTGGTTTATGTAACTGCTATATTTCCCATTGGAATGATATACTTGGTATTCTCATTTAGTCTGTTCTGACTTTAATTTAATCCAGTATATTCCTAACTCTCATCATCTCTGGGAACTGATAACTTAATTTCCACACTGGGAAATCTTTACCTGGACCAAGGTAATTTATACTCTATGAAGTAGATTGGCATTCATCCAACTGGCTTTCTCTCAATGATTATCTTTTTATTGAGCTTGCTCCAAACATCTTTAAAGCAGTACTAAACTGAAAATAAAAAGAATTTTAACTCAAACACTTTTCAATAAATTACCATTAGTTTAGACCTCATTTTAAAGCTAGAATATTTTAAGATTTATTCAGTGATATGCAATTATTTTTTCTCGCAGTGTTGGGGATTGAACCTGGGCCTTTAGTTGGCTAGTTGAGAATTCTACCAGTGAGATACATCCCTAGCTTATGATATGCAAATTTCCAATGCTAACTTTTCCTAAATTTATACATTCTAGAGCATTTTTAAAAAGCAGAAAAGGAGTTATCTTTTTACTTTGTACTCAAAATTGGGCAATGTATCACTTCTCCAAAATTTCTAAGTTGTACCCATTATTATATTTGTTTTATGACTATTATAGTTGTCAACAGAACTAGTAACAAAATGCAAAGGAGTTTTTTGGTTTTGTTTTTGCAGTACTGGCATTTGAATTCAGGGCTTAAGCATGACAAGCGGGGACTCTACCACTTAAGTCATGACCCCAGCCTGCAAAGGAGTTTTGATGCTGAACATGACTAACTTTTATTTTTACAGAGATAACCATACACAGTTTGACATAAAAGTATTAAAGATTTATACAGAAGTTTGAACATCTTTCTTATCATTTTCTCAAGACCAGAATCTACTTCAGTTCAGTTATGAATAAATACTTATGGTATAGGCAAAAGGTTTCTTAATTTTAAGACAGCATTCCTTCACTGGAGGGCAAATGTGCTCAATTATTACTGTTATAATCTTTCAGAAAGGCAAAGCTAATTTCATTATGGTATTCTGTAACTCTGCTCACAGAACTGGGACTTGCCAATAGAAAGGCATCATGGTCTACATTTTCAGTCAGGAGAAAATGTCATGGGACCAATTGAAAATGAAACAAAGCTGGGGGTCTGGCTCAAATGGAAAAACTAAAGAAGCTGGACATGGTGGTGCATGTCTGTAATCCTCATGACTTGGAAGGTAGAGGTAGGAGGATTGTGGTCCAAGGCCCACCTGGACAAATATAAGACCCTATCTGAAAACAAAACTAAAAACAAAGGACTGGGGGCCTGGCTCAAGTAGTAAAGTGTTTGCCTAGCAGGGTGAAGCCCTGAGTTCAATCCTCAGTATTACAAATAAATAAATAAGCCAGTAATATTTTGATTTAATTGTCTAAAAAAAACCACACAGCTATATACAACTAATGATAGAGCCAAGAGGAATAAAATGGCTCCACCAGAGGAGGTAAGTGTTACAACCTGAGAAATGAACCTAGTGGTTTTATTTTCTCCTGTTCCAAAGAGATGAATACACTTGCTCATGCTTTAATATAAAATTCTTTTGCTAAGTTTCCTAACCTTCAAGACCTCCAGAAATGCTGGCTTCATAAAAATTACAGGTCTATTTGAAGTGTCAACTTATTTTAACTCTCCAGGATGAAGTAGAACGAACTAGCACCATATTGTGAAGAGTGGGAGGAAGTAGGGTAAAAACTGACAATATTTCTGAACTAAGTATCTTTGAAATATTGTAGAACACAATGCTATATGGGAACTTAAAAAAAAAAACCTATATGTTTCCAAGACACAGCATAACTATTCCTGCCTTAAATCCAATAGGGAAAGAGTAAGATCTGCATAAAAAATGTTCCAGGGCAAACTAATATCTTAATTATAATTATCATGACTGTCTCTTTTTTGCTACTGTGAACCTTAAATGTATGATGGTTTTGCATTGTTTTTAAAATCATTTCTTTGCTTTATCTTCTAACTTGGCAATACTATTAATTTTTTCTCTTGCATTTTATGGATATCCCTCATTTCTCTGTGCTGCTACCACTCCAGTTCCAATCTTCGTCTTCACCCTACCCTTTCCTTTATCAATCTAACTGTATTTCACTGCTAAGCGATTCTTTCTTTAAAACCATTTTCATCAGGTTAGTAATCTGTTTGAAAACTTGTAATTTTCCCTCCTTCTGGTGTCAGGTAAATACCAGCCTACCTTCCAAGGCTCTCCATAACCTGGTCTCATACAAGTATTTCTCAAGTTACTTCAGCTTCCTTCACTAGCTCCTAAACCTGCTGTCCTCAGTCCTTTTATTTATGCTACTTCTCTGTCCCCTATCATCATGCTTTTATTCCCTAGGATCATTCAGATACTAGTAATCCATTAACCTCTGGTTCAAATTGCATGTTCTTAAGTTTTCCTGAGCATTCTGCCTCAAGTTTCTCTTCTGTAAACGTTCACATTCTTATAAGATAGTTTAATATACCCCATCATAACTTGAACATTATTATTATATACTATTTTAAATTATTTGCCACTGGCTCATATGTTAATACTGCTCCTCTCTCTTGTTAAGTGTCTTATCCTGTAGACTAGCCTGGCCTTGAATTCATCATCCTTCAAAGTCTCTCAAATGCTGGGATTATATCGGTGTTTGCTACCACATCCAGCTAATGCTGCTTTTATAAATGGAAATCATTTATAATATTATCTGTTGCCTGCCTTTTTATCAGGACTGGTCCTCAGTCTAAGACAGCTTGAAACTTTCTGTACTAACTGCATGTAAATATCTGAATGATGTGATACAATATTTGAAAAAAAGTCCTTAAGTTAACAATTTACAGGTTGGAAGGGTTTACAATTAACTAAGAGATTCAAAGGAAGGCAGTTCAAACAGCATGTCACTGAACAGCAGGAGTCAAATCATACCCAATAGAGTCTGAGGGGGGTGCAGAAGGGGATGATCCAGATGTAAGGGCAGTCTCTGCTAAGGAGGCCTCCTCCTGTGGTATTGGATGATGTTCAAAGAACTTGGAGACAAACAGCAAACTGTGAGGCAAAAACAAAACAAAACAAAACAAACCTAACTTGTGCAAAACCCAGAAATCTCAGTACATCAAAATACACAGTTAACAGAAAAATCTGGGATCAAAGTCCAGTTTTGGTAACAATTGTTAAAATATAATCAGTTGTACTTTTGTCTTTAGGCTTATTAAAAATTATGTTGCACTTTCAGAGGCAAGCTCAGAATCTAAAACTAATTGTTCTCTTCAGCAAACTTCTACATATTACAGGGGGAAAATCATGCTCTGATTTTGGTTAAAGAAGAAAAAATATCTAGTGCTAAATTAGTTATATTATTATAATTTGCTTTAAAGTACAGAGTTAAATTCTATTTGCTCAAGTGATCAGGAAAAATAAGACCTTAGCACCAATAACAATAATGACAGAAAGACAGACTACAATAGTTAGTCTATTAGAAAAACTGAAATAAAGCAAAAAGAAATTTTAGAAAGAAACTGAGTACTAAGATTTTATATCTTATGCAAATAAACTGGAAGAAGAGGGATGAAGGTGAAGGAAGAGGAAAACAGAGAGAGAGAGAGAGAGAGAGAAAGAAAGACAGACAGACATAGCATAGAAGGAAGGAGAATCAAAACATAATTTACAAAATAGCTGTCAGAAAGATTTCCTCATCTGTGGTCCAAAAATACAATGGTCTACTTAATTGAAATGGTATTCTATGTCTCCTCCCAAAATTATCAAAAGTGATTTCTATGAACAAGAGGTATTTACTAATTAAAAGACAACACAAAATGTAAATTAAATGTACAGCTGATCTAGAATTACAATTTGGGACAGAAGTGCTAGCTGTACAACATGTTAGTCTCTATACTTTAAAAAAAATTCTCTGTAACAACTGTGGTAGGCAGAATACTCCTCATTGACTTTCAAGACAAGCTAGTTTTACATTATGAAAATGTAAAGTAGTAGATAAAAGAGAGGTTCTCTTTGATTACTTACTCAAGTTGGTCATAATTAACACACATCAGTGGAACCTCTGTACTACAACGTTGGTGAAATTTATAACCACATGTCTGACAGCGGAAACCCTGGAAAAGCAGCTTTCGACAAAAGTCACAAAATGCTAAGGTGAAAAAAGTTTTCCGTACCTGCAAAGTAAAAAATCATAGAGGACTTCAAAATCTTGCAAGAATCTTTTTAGAAACCAAAATATTTATTTTCTTATTTAAAATAAAGTTTTAATATATTTATATTATAAAAACTCACATGCAAAAACAGAAAAATGAAAACCAGGGATTCAAATAGTAAACAGTCTACAGATATTTATCTCCCACCACAATATCCAACTTAAAAACTCTGAAGTCAAGATTAAAAGATACAAATAAAAGGAAAAACAGAAACAAATGCAAGAATGGTAACTAATTTCAAGCTTGACAATATAAAAGTCAAAGTAGAAAAGATATTCAATAGAAGAACAGCAGCAGCAACAACAACAAAGTTTGGAGACCAGGAGAGGAACAGAGGGGATATAATGCTACAAATGAGCTAATTCCTAAGGAAACCAGTGTATGATGTCTAAAGTTGATACAGCAGGAAATTGTGGATAAAAGACATTTAGTAATATTAAAACATTTACCCAAAAAACTTAGAAACTATTAAAAATTAACAGTGATTTCTTCAGGAAAGGGGTAAAGGAAGGAACAGGGAAAGAAGGGGAAGAGGGAGGAGAGAGAATATAAACACAATTTATTAAAACAGGTGACAGAATCAGAACCCCTCACCTGTGGTGTAAAATACAATGGCTAACTTAGTTGAAATTATACCATTTCTTGTAAAAACTATCCCCAAATGATTTCTATAGGCAGGGCTCTTTATTAATTAAAAGAAAATATGAAATATAAATTCAATGTACAGCTGATCTAGACTTACAATTAAGACAAGTGCTGGCTATACTCCACGTGACTCTTACCCACACTATAAAAAAAATTCCCTGCAACACAGTGGACAGAAAATTCACAGCCTTGAAGGCATATTCATTTTACACTGTGAAAGTTTAAATGTAAAATAGTATATAAAAGAGATTTTAAAGGATTACTTCCTCAGGTTGGTCAAAATTAATGCACATAGTGGGAACAATGTCAGTGGGATTTACAATCGCAGTAGAAGCAATCAAGAGGTAGGACAGCAGATCTCTCTGTACTATTTTTTAAATTATACATGTGAACTATTTGGGTAAAAATATGAAAATAATTACTTATAAAAGATAAAGCTGGTTTATAAATATGCTAGGTTCTGCCAAATGCAAAAAACAAAGACTCAAGTAGAGCTCAATACCCAGCTACTCCACTTTCCACTTCCATCACCTTATTCTTCAGAAACATTTACAGAAGTGTGTCAAGATACATGCAGAAAGAGTCTATTTAGCTGTATGTAATACATTTAAAAAACAAATACAGTAACTTAAATGTCTATTAATAGAGGAATGATTAAAGGCACCAAGTTCCCTATTCCTATGGACTATTGTGCAATCATTGCAAGAATAAAGCTAAGTGTATTGATTCAGAATGAAGTCCACCATGTCCTGTTGAATTAAAAAAAAAAAAGATAGGAATATCACAAAGCACAACTCCTTTTTGATTTAAGAAAGGGAAAAAATGGAAACTAATGAAGTGGAGAAAAACGAGAAAGGAGAAAACTTTGGGCTTACAAGTATAAATGTTAAGTTGTGTATACAGAAAAATGTTTGAAAGATTACACAATCATCTACTAATCTAAAGAAATAAAAACACGCTACTAACTATGAAAACACTGATCTCTAGGAGGGTATTTTTACTTTCTTACTTGACAGATTTTTGTACCATGCCAGATTTTTTCTCTTAGTAAGCATGTATTATTTTTTTAAGCTCAAAAAAAGGTTTTAAAGAACAGACCTGTTTTCCAATTTATATAAAATGGCAATCACAAAGTTATTCGTCCATATTTCATATTCCCTAAATAAAAGTACATTCATAAGAACTTGAACATTTTTGACGTTTCAAAAATATAAAGGTACATACAAAGTTATGTGTTGTAAGTGGAACATTCTCCAACACTTCTACATGCAACTCCTCCCCGGTAAGCCAGGAAATATCAGTGTCCCAGCCAATTGGTTTCTTCTCTCTGAAAAATGTAGGCATAAGCCTTTCTTGGTTATCATCACAAAAAATACTTACATGCCTCATGCTGAAGATGTGAAAATTGGTTATTGAGGGGCTAGTAATGGGGAGGTTTGGCTCCCTTGTCTTCCATCGTTAGAAATTTAAATGGCAATAAATTAATTTTTAAGTTTACCCCAAATAAATGTATCACTCTTGGACAAACAGCAGGGTAAAGAGATGTACTCTTTTCTTCAAGTCAGCTCCAGAAAAGACCTACAACAGCAGAAAATGGATTTTTCCTGGGGTCCAAAAAAAGAAAAAAAAAAATCACAGGTACGGACTTATCTATCCATTCAGAGAAAAAGAGTACTGAAGGGAAAACATGCCGCAACACAGGATTCAAAATGTGGGGTCAAAATCTGGAAGTCTTGGAACAACTTTAAGACATTTTCTAAAAGAAAAATAGTTCAATATAAAATGTTCATTTTGATAAATCTGTGAAACAATGAGTTTGTACCAGAAATAGGGGAGTAGGTTAAGTGTGCATTATTCAAATATTTAAATGGTTTAAAAATTATAAAAACCTAGACTTCAGTAAAGAATAACAAACACTACAGCCATACAAAAGTATCAATATGCTACAAGATTTCTTCAGACTAACTCAGCATTGTATACATATTTTTTCTGAAGTTCTTTTTCAATTCCTTAGGTTTAGGTAAGGGTCCTACAGAAACCCCAAAGTTCAATGTCTGATATTTTTTATTTTAAACAAAATTTTACAACACATACAAACCATACCCATCCTGAATTCTGTAAACAGCGCAGCACTCTGGGATAAGACCTCTCATCATCAGTGCTTTCTTTAAACTGTCTCGGACTGTAACTCCACACCTTGCAGGTACCTATGACATCATAAATATATGTAAGAGGTAAAGACGAAACAGATTTTTTTCTTCCAAATTATTTTTTAAAAAAACTTAGTAATATACCTTTATAATATCTTTACCATGTCATATGGATTACTAGGTCAAATACAGCATCATTTCTATAGCTCACTTAATATTAAAGGTAAATTGTAACCCAAGTATCTATTATTTTACCAACTTAAAACAAAATTTATTTATCTTCTGTTAAAATTATGAAGTACCTTACATGTATTAAAAATACAAAATGTGATAGTACCATAATATACCCACCAAAATATTGTACCTACCACTGAGAAATAATATGTTAATATTTAAAGTAAAACCAATTTTGATCCAAAATTGTTCAAAGCTGAAAATCATGCAATCCTTCAATGAATCACAAAGATGTTCCTTAAGAGACACCTTACTGATATCTCTTGGTATATTTTTTGTTCAGTTACCTAGTGTCACTATTTCCTCTGGCAACCTTCTCTAGAAATCCACATGGTACTACAGAGACTATCAATCAGTGATCACTACTTATCTAGCAACAGGTTAGGTAAGTTGGCCAGTCAGTTTCCCATATCCCCAGCAACAGCAACTGGCCCAGGGCTAGATATATGATCCAAACAGTACTAGATTCTTCCCTAAACTGATCCATGGACACTGGTAGTGAGAAGTTTCTGTTTCTACTGTAGTTATAGTACGCCAAGTGAATATAAATCTGGAGCCCCAGAACACTGAGAAAATCTGGTTACAGAATAAAGCTAACACAGGAGGAAGTACAGATGACTCTGGAAGTGGGGAAAGACATGACAAAGGAAAGAGACAGCTATCCCTGTTAGCCTTTTCCATGCCTCATCTCCCCATGCAAATCTGGTGTGGAGTAAAGAGAAGCTATGGGAATACAGCCAGTACAGTTTTTATTTGGGGAGGTGACAGACAGAAAGAGAGGATGTTTTAGTTAATTACAGTAAAAATGCAATACAGTTATTATTAAAAACAGTAATACAATAATTATCCCATTCATTTCAATCACTTTAAAGTACTTGGTAACTCTAAATTTAGAAATTTAATGCCTGAGGTGAATTTAAACATTTTATCGAAAGGGAAACAATCTAAAGGCCTAATTAGAACCTGTGATTAGAAATAACAGGAAGTATATTTTAGTTCAACATCATATGTACCAAGGGAAATACTTGTCATGATGGAGGGGGCTCATCACAAGAAGTATCCAAGAGTTGATGGGATTGGTACATGTGATCTTCATTATGCATGGAGACCATATTAGTGAACGTGTCTATTCACTAAAAGTTATCTGTAGTTCCAAAATCAATACTTTTGTAGCTTTGTGGACATGAAGAGATCAGCGAAAACTCTGTCATTTGATGTACCTTTCTAGCTGAGGTTGAAAGAGGTGACAGTCTGCCTCGTTTCAACTTTCATATGAGTATCCTTTGCACAGTTTGTTTACTACCATGTTTTTCATATTTTTGTTTAAAATTGTTTCCTAGCATAGTGCTGAAGTGCTGTTTAGCATTAAGTGCAAGAAGGCTGGCAGAGAAAGTATACATGTTAGGGAAACTTCCTTCAGGCATGAGACAGTGAGGTCAACCATGAGTTCAATGTTAATGAATCAACATATATTAAGTAAGGTGTCTTTAAGCACAAACACACATAAAACACAGTTATGGCTGATGGAAATGTGACTAAGCATTCACAAGAACCTAAATGCATTTTGAGTTCAAGGGATTTGGGGGCTGATCAAGGAGAAAGATATGACCACAGGGTGGCAGTAGTATATAAGAGCTTTATTTGGATGATGCTTTGTTAAGTTTGCTTGCAGTAGAATTTCCTTCCAACAGAGCTACCCAAAGGCTAAGGTTGAGCAACAAGGGGAAAGGGCCCCCAGAAAGGGGGTTATATGCCTAGGTAAAGTTGCTCAACAGCCTGGCAGGGAATCTACACATGAAAGAGCTCATAGCACATGATAAAAGCGAGAGCACACAAGGGAGGGGTGAGGATAGGTAAGACACCTAAAAAATTAGCTAGCATTTGTTGCCCTTAACGCAGAGAAACTAAAGCAGATACCTTAAAAGCAACTGAGGCCAATAGGAAAAGGGGACCAGGAACTAGAGAAAAGGTTAGAGCAAAAAGAATTAACCTAGAAGGTAACACACGTGCACAGGAAATTAATGTGAGTCAACTCCCTGTATAGCTATCCTTATCTCAACCAGGAACACTTGTTCCTTCCTATTATTGCTTATACTCTCTCTACAACAAAATTAGAGATAAGGGCAAAATAGTTTATGCCGGGTATTGAGGGGGTGGGGGGGAGAGGGAGGGGGCAGAGTGGGTGGTAAGGGAGGGGGTGGGGGCAGGGGGGAGAAATGACCCAAGCCTTGTATGCACATATGAATAATAAAACAATTAAAAAATAAAAAATAAAAAAAAAAGAAAGAGCTCATAGACACTGCTAGCAGATGGTGGGTGGAAAGCAGTTTTCTAGAGCTTGCAAAATAAGCAGGCTCTTAATGGCCAAAAATCTGCTTCTGGGGATTATATTCAAAACAATAACATGTAAAAAGTTAGTTTGGTGCAAAGCACACTTTAAGCAACAGGTTCCAATCTGTTTTAAAGAAATAAACAACCTATATGGGTCAATATGTAGAAGCTATCTCTAGCTCATTTATGTAATTATAACTGGGTATTTCAGTATTCATTAACTCAAGTGTTTGTAACAAAGTTATACAACACAATTACTGCAAATAGTAAAATCTGGCTGTACCTTCCACAAATAATGAACTCAAGGGAAAAGCTCACTCTTTCCCTCTGCCATTCATTTTCTGTCTACACTAGTGTAAAAACTTCAGATTAGTGACCATATCTTAGTTTTAAATACCACCTACACTGTTCTATCCCGTATTACCATAGAAATCTTTCTAAGACGGTATCAACCCTCATGTGTGTTCTGAGAATCAGATAAAAACTTGTCATGCTTTCTATGAAACATAAAATTTAGAGAATTTATGCCCCTGAAGACCATGTATACAAACTGCTGAACAGTCCACTGAACTCAGCATTGTATCCATTTTAAAACAATCTTACATTTCATTAGTCTGCATAAAATGTTCCCATATATAGGACACATTTCAAATTCCATAAAGTGGAATAAAAGGTCAAGAGCGGCTTTGAGCTATCTCCTCTCCACACTCCATCATGCACTCCATAATGCATCCACATATGCCTAGGTTTCCTCATGTTCTCTGCACACGCTGATTCTACATTGCATGTACATTTCATCAGCAGGCTTAAATTTAGCTTTGTGTTCTATTACCAAGGCAGAGTCATCAATCATCCCTTTATCCTACTTCTTTTTTATTTTATCATTTTTACATTTATTCACATATGGATACATTGTTTGGGTCACCTCCCCACCCCCATCCTACTTCGGCAGGCTGAATTTTTGTACTATTTGCTGCTTCATGATAGTTTCTGTGCAACAGATGGCAAAAACAATAGAACAGAATAGGATGACCAAAACATACCCTCAGACATATAGGAAACTTGAGCAAAAAGGAATGGGAGAAACAGAAAGTTTCTAATGGGTATGGGATTTCTTCCTGGGGATGACGAAATGTTCTTTTATGTGGTTACGGAGTTTGAACTCAGGGCCTTGTGTTTGCTAGGCAGGTGCTCTACCACTTGAGTTACATTTCCACACCTCCCTTTTATGTTTTACTTTTCCAATAGGGTCTCGCCTTTTTGCCTGGGGCTGGCCTTAGACTGTAATCCTACCACCTATGCCGCCCACATAGCTGGGATTACAGATACATACTACTATATCCAGCTTGTTGAGAGAGAGGGGGTATTGCTTTTTTTGCCCAGGCTGGTCTTGAACAGCAGTCCTGATATCCATCTCCTGAGTAGCTGGGATTATAGCTGTGAACCACCATGCCTAGCACTTGAAAATGTTCTAAAATTGATAACCCTGTGAATATGTAAAAATCATTGAGTAATTAAAATGGGTGAAATGTGTATTATTCTAAGTTCCTCTCAGTAAATCTGTAAAAAAATTAAAAAGGAAATTCTGTATTTTACATTATGAGCTTAAGAAGGCAGACTGAGAACAAACCACTTTCAAAGTAACTAATATTTTTTGATTCATTTATTATTATTATACACATACAGAAAAATATAATTGAGTATATCAAGACTAATCTTTAAATCTTATTAGCAATATCTTTTAAATTTTTTTAACATTTAATGTTGGCAAGTCTTGTGGGAACAGGAAGTCTTAACACACTATTGATAACCAAACACTTTTTTGATCTTAAGGAATTACAAAGTTGAAAGTGTACATATTCTATGACCCAATGGTTATTTCTAGATAGTTAACCTACAAAAATATTCTCACAGTTTCAGGATACATGTATTTAAAGTACACTGAAACATTACCTAATTATCCATCAAGAAAGAAATAACTAAAAACATATAATCACTATTATTATAATCACACTAAACATCAATAAAAATATAATCATCTTAAACAACCATAAAGAACAAATGGTTCTGCATTACGTGAAGGAAGAGTATTGAGTACCAAGTAAAAGGTCAGTCTCTTTCTCTTGTTTCAGACACTGCTCACATCCCTCAGGTAACAATTAACAGGCCTTTGTACACAATTCAAAGGTATTCCAAAGGACACACACATTTATTCTCTTTAACCACTGTATCTATTCCAAACTGGAAAGTCTCATTTAAGTAGCTCTGTAGCAAGCCAAGGGACATATACATTGATACTTTTTCATTAATAAACATAATGAATATTAATTTTCAAGATGAATAAAAATTCATAAAAGCTGTGAACTACTTCTTAAGATTAGTTTTGACAATTGCTACATATTTTGAAAATTAAGAATATCTTTAAGGCTGGGAGCATGGCTCAAGTGATAAGAGTGCCTGCCCAGAAGCACAAGGACCTGAGTTCAACACCC